CAGGTCTCTGTGCCCACCAGGTAACCTGGCACGCCGGGGGCTCGGCAGTGTTTACGCCTTTAATTAAATCGAAAGGAATTTAAAACTGCGTTGTGTTTTGACGTGACGTAAACTCACTTCACCCAAGGAAACCGAGGAGGCGACGGCCTGTGCGGAACGAAGAGGGCGTCTGCGGAGGAGCTGGTGTTCGGGCGGGGTGACCCGTGCCGTGTCCCAAACTGGGCTGCGGCGGGGAATCTGTGCCCAGCCTTTTGCCAAATAAGCAGAGAGAGGTGCTGCATTTGTTTAACATCCAAGGCAGCAGGAGCAGGAACCCCAGCCTGTGATACTCACCTGCCCCTGCAACGTTTCTGAAAAAGTAGGAACTTGGCAGGATCGAGGTTACACGTCAGTTTGACAAGAGGTGTGACTGTCAGCCAACATGGCAGTGTGTGCTAAACATCCCAAAAGTGCATTGTCAAATACACAATGAATGCCTTTCTGACTGAAAACTATTACTGCACAAAACCTATGTTGCAGCATTTGAAGCTAGCTAATTTATAGATGTAAGCAGAATTGTAAACGGATCAAAACATTTTGAGCAAAGACATGTTTTTAGTCCAGTATTCTTCAATGTACTAATGCTTTGGAATAAAATGCAAAATCATTGCTGGTAAAAGTAGTAGATGATGAATTGAGGAAGAGAGATCATGTGATGAGGGTTATCTAGATCACACTCTGCACAATAATCTTTTTATCTCTTTATCTAAGGAAATGAGGCTTAAGCAACTGCAGTACTGGGTGTTTCCATCATCCTTTCCACCTCCAAGGACTTCTGAACATGCTGGCCTACTTAATCATATTTGCAAACATGTACAAATCTTGGAAGGTTAAATTCGTACAACTTTGGGGGGAAAAAAAAAAAGCAGTTACGCTTGAGAGAAGAAAAGGAAGGCAAAGCACGGGTGTTACGCAGGAGGCCAGCCAGCACATGGTTGCGTTTACTGCTTGGCTAGTAAGCACCACTCTGGCTTGGGGCTCGTGCATTTCTTGCACAGAGAGTGTATCGCAGCATACCAGGGTGAGACCTTGGGTTACTGCTGTAGGTAGAATTGTGCACCCAAGACAGAAACCCTCAAGAAGTGTATGTTTGGTGAAGTTCACTGCTTACAGAGGAGCTTGTTAATACAAGCAGTTCCGAGGTCGTATTTCCAGGCCTAAAGCACGAAGTCGTACCGAATTGGGGTTATTCTGCCAGCAATCCATGCGTGAGTAGTGATAGAGGATTAAATGTTCCCACCTGTTACACCTTCCTTCTGCTGGAAGTTACCACTCCCATCTGGTGGAAATAACAAGAGAGAACATGTCCGTGCCTCATCTTCCAAGGCTTCAGAAAACAAACATGTGCCAAATTTCATGGCCGTTTGAGTTAACATTCAGTTTATGAACTAGAGTATCTCCAGAGCAGATAATGCTGCCTGCCAATTTTGCTGACTGCTTCGTGTGCAGTAACCTTTTCTAGGGGAGAGGGGCAGAAGGTGAGGGACAGTGATCTGCATCCAGCAGGGATTGCCAGAGCTTGGGAGGCAAGACAGGCAGCCAGTTCATGGCAGTGAAGTACAATGCTACAAGAGAAAGTGCCTGATAATGGGATTAAACTACTGATTTTTTTCATGGGCAAGTGTAAGGGGAAACTAGGTCATTTTCTGCAAGAATTTACACGGAGAGAAGATTTCTGAGGGTAGATTCTTCATTAACGTAACAGAAAAAGACATCATGAGATCCAATGACTGGAAGCTAAAGGTAGACAAGTTCAGGCCAGAGCTAAAGTTTGGCTCTCAAGGCTATCAGACCATTGGAACAATTTCCCTGGGGGCTTCTTAGTTTAGCCATCATGTGAATGTGGTGGTGTGCTCCCTCCTCCCCTCTGACTCCCTCTCCCTTGACCTCTTTCAAGTGATAACCACCTGTGGTGGTGGTGATAGACGTGTCTGGTCGTGAAGGATGTGCCCACTGGATGTGGGGGGAGACAGATAACAATACAATAGCCAAGGGCTATTGTGCAATGTGCCCACCTAAGCACAGTCGTCAGTATGCAGATATGACTATGAGCCAATTATCTTACCCCCATAAGCAGTGAGCAGCCCAAGAGCCCTTTGAGCTCTCCTGCACGGCAGCGGGCTGCACACCAGGATCTCCCCGTGAGCAGGGCACCTCTCAAGGTTACTCCTTAAGGTTGAGAGATTCCTTACCATGACAGATTCTCAGTAAGTGGCTAACAGCATGCTAACTTGGAAATCTTAGCTAAGTGACATAAAGGATTGATTGCGCATATATGATCCTTTAGACATAAACCGTTGACCAAGTCTGGGACTAGGATTGGATCCAGCCTCACCTAGACTCCTCTCTGAGGAAGGAGTGTAGAAAGCAAGGGGGTCCTTTCTGAACCTCATGACTCAACGGGAGGGTCTCCCTGACAGTTTTGTCTGACCCTGTCCTCTGTGCAGTAAATAACTAAGTGTACCTTGCCATCGAATCTTATAAACTATTGTCGCATTTACCACTGAACTTCGTTAACTTACTGTTTTACACCAATAAACTATAGTTTTTTGTCTCACTCCCACTCCATCCGCGACAGTGAAGTATTTAAATTAAAACTAAGAACATAAATTAAAAATGGTTGTGCGGAGTCAGATTAGGGGCCCTTCTGGCCCAACACTGTGTTTCTAGAAGTGACCAGTGAGGAAAGCGAGCTCAATAGGGGATGAGATAGGTATCCTAGCAGTTGTTGGACTTATTTCCGTTCCCTCTGGGATGTTAAGACAGGTCATCTCTTTTCTGGAGAACACCACTGAGCAGCACCCACATCTTCTTCCCGAAGTTGATGAGTCCTAACCTGGTGTGTCCTTGGAGAAAAGCCATTCCCAACCTTTGTATTCATCTTTATGTCTTTTTTAACTTCTACTGTATATTTTAAGCAGAAGTTTTAGTCTTGATGCAAAAATCAAGCGACAATTTCTGCTCTATGTAGAAGGTTACGTCAGTGATACTTCTGGTTTCTGTTAGCCCTGAAATTGTTGAGCAAAATTTGTTTGCAGCAAAGTTTGTAATAATAAAAATAAATTCTTGATTTCCATGGATTACTACACTCTCTAATCCTGAACTCAAAGCAGTGACTTGAAACTGTTTGATTAACATGTTCGTGCCCTATCAGTATGGCCATGTTTCAGAGAGGTTAGGAAGAGAAATAGGGAGAAAGAGCATCAGAGAAGTAACTGAAGTACAGCATTTGCTGTGCCTCCACCATATCAAGCACAACACCGCACATCCATTTCTGGGTAAATCTGGCTCTCCTGCCGACTCTCCTGCAAGTAACAAACCAGCTGGTTATCTTTCTATCACATTTACAGGAGAAATCCATCATCAGCAATTTACTCAATGATTAGCAACATTTTGCCTTCAGCAAAATCCATCAGCTAAGTACCAGTGCATCAGTGTAGAGCACGACACTATATAAATAAGTACATGAATAATAAAGATGTATACATTCACTGAGGCATGGAGGCTGTTTAATAGCAGGACATAAAGAACCAGCATATTCCTCAGAAATGTGAGTCCACAGACAGATTACTCTAAGGGTGAAAACCCAGTTTTTTTTAACGAGGGAAAAAAGTAGCATGGCTGTATTTGCAGCAGTGTGTACTACAGAAATAATTACACTAAAGATACTACAGAATAGTTACACTAAAGATTAGATTAATTGATGCTACTTGATGATCTAAACAAGTACTTGGAGAAAAGAGGCTGGAGGGAGAATAAGAGTAAACAGAAGTTGAAGAGATTCCTTCAGTGCCCAGGAAGTACGTCTTAATCCTTTTGGTCCACATTATGATTGATTCCTGCCTGCAAGGCTGTTTTGTGCATGAAGAAGACTTTAAAACGTGTCATCACACCAGAATGTTGCTGTCAGATCCAGGGGATAGGTGGAAGGAAGAGCTGACTAATGTTACCCCTATGTGTGATACAAGATCACCTGAGAATTTGGGTGTTTATGAGATCAGCACTTTATCTGCATATTTCTTGATATGTATTACAGAATTATTTTTTTTCAGCCATTAGAGAAATATGTGTAAAAAGTGTAGTCCCTTTAAAACGAAAAGAAACTGGTTTAGAACATGTTGCTTGCAAGCCCTTGTGATGTTTTAGGCAGGTGTAGCATGGCAACGAGTATTAAGTAAACCTAAGGCATCATAAATACTGAAGTGGTAAGAGTTCTTCTCATTTTACTGAAATATATTGTAATTCTTCCCAGCTATCACCAGGTGGCAATGTCATGACCGTAAAAATCTAGTTTTTCTGAAGTGAGGAACGGTTAAGCATGAGGAAGTGATGTATCCCTGGGCTGCAATCGCTCCAGGAAACAGTTACATTACAGTCCCCAGCAAGATTCAGATTTCCGCCTAACTTAGTCTTTTGTGTACAGAGCTATAGCCAGTACTGAAAATATTAAAGGTTTCACCTCCGGTTTTCCATTTAAATTGTATCATTTAACTTTTCCCACCCCCGCCTTTTTTTTTTAAGAACTTGGGTTGTCAAGAATTCATGATGAAGAGCCTTTTTTTGTCTCTCTCACTTGCCTCCGTTCTGTTTATGAACAGCTGCTTAGAAGCGCAAGGAAGAAAATGGAAAGGTGAGGGTACAACACAAAACCTGGAAAGTATTGTCACTGGAAGATGCTATGACTATATCAGAGTTTTGAATCCTTCTGTTGGGTAAGTCTTGCTTGTTTCTGGATTAGTTTTTTATGTTCTGTACAAAATGGTTATTAATCAGAAGCCTGATGTTTTGCTCCTAGCCATGAAAGTGATCCTATTGATCCTATGCTTGTAGCTGTCTGGAAACAAAAAATGAGCATTGATGGATGTCATATTACTAAAAGTAGTGTAATTAAGGCAAAATTTTTAATCCTTCAGCTTTTTATTTCACACTTCTTTCCCCCCCGCCCAGTGCCACAGTGTTCTGTAAGGAGAACATGGCACAGAAATGGTGGGGATGGTCTTTCTGAAGTGCCAAATCTCACAGTGCTCTTGGGAAGACCAGCTTTGCTTTGCATGCCTTGTATGTCAGGTCACGTAAGAAGGAAAGCACCACACTTTACAGCTACCCTGGGGTACTGATTAGCTCATCCACCTGAAAAATCAAGTAGTAATCAACTGCTGAAGCATGGTTATCCATGAGCTTTCATTGTCTGTGTTAATTACACGGGACTGGTGGTAAGTCACATGCTTTGATAAAATGACCACTTTTTCTGTATTCCTTACATTGTTTGGACTTTGGTAAAAAGGAAGAAACTAAGGACAGTCTCTTGGCATTCAGTCCTTTATTCTGCCACTAAAATTTTTCCTGGTAGTTTGAAGAGGTATTTGCAGAGTGTTGGGTTACTGCAGCATTGAACCATGATCTTAAACAGGATTAGATTATATTTGCACAATATTGGCAAATATCACCTCCTTCCCTCAACCTCCCATTTTCAGTTCTGGCTGCAAAACAGGAAGATACAGGACTGAAAACAGGTTCATGGCTCTTAATGGAGACAAAACAACATGTTTCATCCTAATAACACTCTTAACTTACCAGAAGCGTTTTGGTTCAGGTTCCCCATGAAAGAAGAAATTATCCTAATGCCAAAAATATGGTACTAAAATTTCAGCTGAACAATTCAAGTTTGGCAAGTTTATAAACACATCACAGTGGAAGGTGCTAGTAAACTTTAACTATAGATTTCTACACACCTACAATATAATATAATTTATGAAAACTTAAGTCAATTAACAGTTGTGTAGGTATATGAAGTCTGGTCTTGCAGTAGGCTTTAGATAGGTGGAGTTGCTGTCGGAGTTAACAGATGTCACTTTGTTTATATCTGAAGCAGGACATGTCTAATAATACAGACTACACTAAAATGAGCAACATAAAGGATTGTTACCGTGGCAATGTTAACTTTATTGTTAACTGATTTGGGCTTTTAGAAATGTAAATACAATATCCTTGGAAGTATTGCTATATGTCTCATGTTTGTGGCATTTTTGTGGTTGTCATTGTTTAATCCCAGATGCCACTGAGCACCACACAGCTGCTTGCTCATCCCCCCCTGCCCCAGTGGGATGGGGGAGAGAATTGGAAGAGGAAAAGTGAAAAAAAAAACTCATGGGTTGAGATAAGAACAGTTTAATAATTGAAATGAAATAAAATAAAATAGTAACAATAATAATGATAAAAGAATATACAAAGCAAGTGATGCTCAGTGCAATTGCTCACTGCCTGCCAACCGATGCCCAGCCTGTCCCCAAGCAGCGATTGCTGCCCCCCAGCCAACTCCCCCCAGTGTATATACGTATGGTATATACATATGGTATGGAATACCGCTCTGGGCAGTTGGGGTCAGCTGTCCTGGCTGTGCCCCCTTCCAGCTTTTTGTGTACCTCCTCACTGGCAGGGCATGGGAAGCTGCAAAGTCCTTGACTTAGTATAAACACTGCTTAGCAACAACTAAACCATCAGGGTGTTATCAACATTATTCTCACACTAAATCCACAACACAGCGCTATACCAGCTACTAGGAAGAAAATTAACTCTACCCCAGCCAAAACCAGGACAGTGGTCTAATTAATACCTGTGACATTTTCAGAATATAATTTTAAAATTGAGAAGTCTGAACACATTCATCAAAGTATTCTTACTTAGAATAGCATGCAGCCAGGCTGGACATTAGGGCTGCTTTCCTGAATTCAGACTCAAGATGGCATTATTAAAAAGAAGAGCTGCACGATTACTGCTTAGAAGCGCAAGGAAGAAAATGGAAAGGTGAGGGTACAACACAAAACCTGGAAAGTATTGTCACTGGAAGATGCTATGACTATATCAGAGTTTTGAATCCTTCTGTTGGGTAAGTCATGCTTGTTTCTGGATTAGTTTTTTATGTTCTGTACAAAATGGTTATTAATCAGAAGCCTGATGTTTTGCTCCTAGCCATGAAAGTGATCCTATTGATCCTATGCTTGTAGCTGTCTGGAAACAAAAAATGAGCATTGATGGATGTCATATTACTAAAAGTAGTGTAATTAAGGCAAAATTTTTAATCCTTCAGCTTTTTATTTCACACTTCTTTCCCCCCCGCCCAGTGCCACAGTGTTCTGTAAGGAGAACATGGCACAGAAATGGTGGGGATGGTCTTTCTGAAGTGCCAAATCTCACAGTGCTCTTGGGAAGACCAGCTTTGCTTTGCATGCCTTGTATGTCAGGTCACGTAAGAAGGAAAGCACCACACTTTACAGCTACCCTGGGGTACTGATTAGCTCATCCACCTGAAAAATCAAGTAGTAATCAACTGCTGAAGCATGGTTATCCATGAGCTTTCATTGTCTGTGTTAATTACACGGGACTGGTGGTAAGTCACATGCTTTGATAAAATGACCACTTTTTCTGTATTCCTTACATTGTTTGGACTTTGGTAAAAAGGAAGAAACTAAGGACAGTCTCTTGGCATTCAGTCCTTTATTCTGCCACTAAAATTTTTCCTGGTAGTTTGAAGAGGTATTTGCAGAGTGTTGGGTTACTGCAGCATTGAACCATGATCTTAAACAGGATTAGATTATATTTGCACAATATTGGCAAATATCACCTCCTTCCCTCAACCTCCCATTTTCAGTTCTGGCTGCAAAACAGGAAGATACAGGACTGAAAACAGGTTCATGGCTCTTAATGGAGACAAAACAACATGTTTCATCCTAATAACACTCTTAACTTACCAGAAGCGTTTTGGTTCAGGTTCCCCATGAAAGAAGAAATTATCCTAATGCCAAAAATATGGTACTAAAATTTCAGCTGAACAATTCAAGTTTGGCAAGTTTATAAACACATCACAGTGGAAGGTGCTAGTAAACTTTAACTATAGATTTCTACACACCTACAATATAATATAATTTATGAAAACTTAAGTCAATTAACAGTTGTGTAGGTATATGAAGTCTGGTCTTGCAGTAGGCTTTAGATAGGTGGAGTTGCTGTCGGAGTTAACAGATGTCACTTTGTTTATATCTGAAGCAGGACATGTCTAATAATACAGACTACACTAAAATGAGCAACATAAAGGATTGTTACCGTGGCAATGTTAACTTTATTGTTAACTGATTTGGGCTTTTAGAAATGTAAATACAATATCCTTGGAAGTATTGCTATATGTCTCATGTTTGTGGCATTTTTGTGGTTGTCATTGTTTAATCCCAGATGCCACTGAGCACCACACAGCTGCTTGCTCATCCCCCCCTGCCCCAGTGGGATGGGGGAGAGAATTGAAAGAGGAAAAGTGAAAAAAAAAACTCATGGGTTGAGATAAGAACAGTTTAATAATTGAAATGAAATAAAATAAAATAGTAACAATAATAATGATAAAAGAATATACAAAGCAAGTGATGCTCAGTGCAATTGCTCACTGCCTGCCAACCGATGCCCAGCCTGTCCCCAAGCAGCGATTGCTGCCCCCCAGCCAACTCCCCCCAGTGTATATACGTATGGTATATACGTATGGTATGGAATACCGCTCTGGGCAGTTGGGGTCAGCTGTCCTGGCTGTGCCCCCTTCCAGCTTTTTGTGTACCTCCTCACTGGCAGGGCATGGGAAGCTGCAAAGTCCTTGACTTAGTATAAACACTGCTTAGCAACAACTAAACCATCAGGGTGTTATCAACATTATTCTCACACTAAATCCACAACACAGCGCTATACCAGCTACTAGGAAGAAAATTAACTCTATCCCAGCCAAAACCAGGACAGTGGTCTAATTAATACCTGTGACATTTTCAGAATATAATTTTAAAATTGAGAAGTCTGAACACATTCATCAAAGTATTCTTACTTAGAATAGCATGCAGCCAGGCTGGACATTAGGGCTGCTTTCCTGAATTCAGACTCAAGATGGCATTATTAAAAAGAAGAGCTGCAAAATTAATTTCATATTATGTGGTTTTTTCTCTTTCCATTCCCTTAGGTCTATAAGCAAGTAGTGTAATCTAAACAAAATGGAAATTTCATATTGCAGAGGTGCAAAAAAGATATTCTAATTATTTATAACCCTTTCTGTTCATTGTCTGTTTCTTAATTGACCCCAGGCTAGCTTTTACAGAGGTGTAGCCACCTGGATAGATTTTGCTTCTGAATTTATGTGCGAATAGAATAATTTTTTTAAAAATATTTTGCTAACAGAAAAGAAGCTAGCAAAGCACACCTTTAGACTGCAACATAGTTAAAACATAAAGAAGTTTATAGAAACATAAGAAAAACTTTACATTAAAATAGAACATGCAAAATGGCAGTTAAAAGAGGCATTTCACAAAATGTTATGATCAAGTATAAGTGAGGGATTTGAATGAAAATCATATTTGAAATTTTCTAGTAGGACTATGCTATATAACACAAATGTTCTTGTACTGCATTTCCCCCATATTTCTTTATTGTCATGGTTTAACCCCAGCTGGCAACTCAGCCCCACCCAGCCGCTTGCTCACTGCTCCCCGGTGGGATGGGGGAGAGAATCAGAAGAGTAAAAGTGAGAAAACTCATTAATTGAGATAAAGACAGTTTAATAGGGAAAGCAAAAGCTGCACACGCAAGCAGAGCAGACCAAGGAATTAATTCCCTGCTTCCCATGGGCAGGCAGGTGCTCAGCCGTCCCCAGGACAGCAGGGCTCCATCACGCGTAACGGTGACTTGGGAAGACAAATGCCATCACTCCCAACATTCCCCCCTTCCTTCTCCCCCCAGCTCTATATGCTGAGCATGACGTCGTATGGTGTGGGACACCCCTGTGGTCAGTTGGGGTCAGCTGTCCTGGCTGTGCCCACTCCCAGATTCTTGTACCCCCCCCAGCCTCCTCGCTGGTGGGGTGGGGTGAAGAGCAGCAAAGCCCTTGACTCTGGGTAAGCCCTGCTCAGCAGTAACTGACACGTCCCTGCGCTATCAACGCTGTTGCCAGCACAAATCCAAAACATTGCCTAGCTACTATGAAGATAATTATCCCAGCCAAAACCAGCACAGTAGCATGTAAAGGAAGTTTTGAAAACATACTTTTTTAACTGACTTAGTATGAGATAAATCCAATATGACTTATTAGTGTCTATGAAGATTGGAAAGAACTGTCCTGAACCACAGTTCTTCCCCACCCTATAGTTTCAAAAAGTATTTTTGCCAGCTAAGAGATTTTGAGTAACCGAGCAGAATAATCCTTTTGATTTACAAGCTGTTCAAACCTGGATGAGAAGACATGAAGGAAAAAAATGCAGTAAGTGAATTAACCAGAAATTACTGCTGGATTCAACTGTCAAGAAAGATGTTAAGAGTTCAGTTGATCACAATTTACAAGTACTAGCATGAATAAGTGAGTGTTTACAGTAGATGGCTCTTTAGCAGAATGAGGCGTAAGTATATACAATTGTCAGAAGCTAAAGTTTAACAGCATAAAACCAGAAAATGCAAATCCTTTTATCAAGTAGGGCTATTTAAACATTGGAACTACTGATCAAGGATTATGTTGCACTGAAGATTTTCAGATCAAGATCCCATGTTTGCTTACGATATATTGGTGTTTTTTATATAGTTGTTGGAAGCATGACCAGAGATTACTGTAGGAGAATCTGTGGTCTGTTTCCTGCGTGGGAGCTGCATGGCTTCTCACAACGGGTCCTTTAACTTTAAAGCGTCTGTGACATTCAGCATCACAAAGCAGCTCCGTAAAGAATCTCATGAGGAGAAGCTCCAGCAGAAACTCTGCTGTCTATGGATGACATTAAATGAGCAAAACACCCAAATGGCACAATTTAGTTTACTTACTGGGACTACTGTTGTTCAAGCTACAGCTTTGCAATTACAGCTGTTCACGTTAGGAACGCTGTATGCACATGAAATACATGATTCTGTTCTGCAGAGTGTTCCCAGCATAGGCATTGTCACAGCATATGTGGGGAAGGTACTGTGGGAAAGCGGTGAAAGTAGCAATTCCCTTTTTAGTTACTCCAGGCGGGCTCAGAGCTGTGACAGATGAGATCCTGCAAATCCAGAGGGGTAAGACACGTCCATGCCTAGATGGCCTGGGCTGACCTTCCACAGGAGAGGATTGTCCCCAGCGCAGAGCTGGCAGAAGTGCACAGCCTAGCATCTTATATCCGAGGAGAAGCTCCAGCAGAAACTCTTCTTCAACTCTAAAAAGTTGAATCCTAACAGTATTCTTGTAGCTACCGCACAGTGACAGCACAGGGCCTGCACGGTCTGTGTGCCCATTCCAGCAAGGTAAAGCTGTGTAATCCTAGGGCCTGGATACACAGAAGGCATCTCTTCATCAAAACCATTATTCTACCATCGAAACTTTTCAGTAAGTCCTCATGCACTTGAATGTGACATTTTAAGAGTAATTTTACATTCCAGTAGCTTTGCATATTTAGCTACGCTTTAACTGAAATGGCTTTTTGAATCTGGAAAATTTCAAAGCAAGCTGTTTCCTTTAGTATTTCTACAATGCTGGATAGCCAGTTCACTGTGCATGCTGTACCTTCTAAGACTTTTGTTGGATCACTATGTATTTCTAATTCCACACTGTAAATCTTAATATTTTCATTGCTACTTCTTCCTAATCTGCTGTTGTTAGGAGTCAGGAAAAGACAAGACCTTTATACTCTTCCTGCGTTGCAAATTTTCTTCCACCCTGACTTCAGTTTTCTACCTTAACCTTGTGGGATTTTTAATTTGGGAATTTGAAGAAGTTGGGAACAAATTACTTTCATGCTCTGCTTTGAAAAAACGTTCTGCTATTTGTTTGTTTTGATGATTACAGTGAGAAGAACTGTTCAGAGATGTGGGAAGCTTTTAAATATGCATTTATTAACAAGGATCCTTGCAATGTTCTACCTAAGGACTATGAATTATTTATCAAGCTGTCATTGCACAAAATTCCACCTAACAAGGTAATGATTATTAATGTTATGTTCACTGTCCTGTGACATGCAGCAGATTATCCATGACACAGTTCAAAATTGACCAAGAGTCCTTCTGTGGCTGACTCATGAATCACTATTTTTGGCCTGTCTGTAGCTTACTAACTAGGCTCAAGCTTGATGGCATTTTCCAATGTGTTTGGCTGCATTTATTTTACGCAGTAACTTCTCAGCAACTTCTCTATTTTCGTTCTACAAAGATCCCCCATTTTTCCTGACGTGCCAGGTGCCCTGTTGTAGTCCCTGAACTTCTACTTTTCCTCAAGTTAGGTGCTCTGCCTGCAAAGATAATCGACTTTTGCTATCGTCTTTTGCTTCCGCTCCTCACAGCCAAGTCTCAGGGCAATGACATGTTAAACATTGACATGTTAAACAAGCATAAGCAGAAATGAGATAGGATGCCATTATATGCTAGGAAACAGTGTTTGATGTGCTGGCAATTGCAGAGAATTGTGAAAGTGCTAAAAACACAGCTCTTCGTGCCGTCGTATCCCATCAGAATGTGTGCTTTGGCCTTCTCTAAAAGGTTGTGCTTTAAAGCAGTTTTTCTTCTAGCACAATTATTCCTTATCTCTGAATGATACAAGCTAAACCAACAAATACTCCTGTCAACATAGCTTAATTCATGAAAGAGTTCTACGAACACAGTAGTAACAGCTAGACGTATAAGCCAACATAGCAGTATGAGAGAATTCTGGTAAGATATATCTCCCTTATAAACATCTGTCTGACCTTTTTTCTCCATTTTCCTAAATCCATCTGCTGAGGAAGGCAAAGCTAGGTCTAACTATATTTAATGTAGATCTTTATCCATTCCCAGCCCCTCAAGCCTCTTGTGACCATAATTTAGACCACTGTAGGAACAAACTTTGTTCCTCTAAAGTGATACCTAACATTTCTGGTTATTAGCTTGATTTTGAAAGAAATACCAAAACATGTTTTAAACTGTTTTTAACACCCCATAATCTCATTGTGTCCACACCTAAGTGATGGTTCATTTCTTCTTTTTCTTTTTTTTCATATAGTCTCTCTTCTGGGAAAATAATCAGCTGCTAGTCAACAGCTTTACTGGCAGAGGCCGCCGCTACATGTCTCTGGCTGATACCCTCTTTGGCTTCTTTGGAGATTTTCTAAACTGGTGTGGGAAGGCAAACAGCCCTGGTAAGACAATGAGTGCTATATTAAACATCTGTCTGTAAAACCATAGTGGAGACCAACTGCTGTGTTCTGGAGGGGCTCATTTTGCTCTTACCCTCAAAAAAATCAGATATAGCTTCACTATCTCATTCTCTCCTGTTTTGCATGGATATTTTAACATTGCAGTCAGGGGAGCACACAGTGAAATCTAAACAGTGCTGCACAGGAGCTAAGCCTCCTTCTCCATCCTTGGAATATGGAGCTCTCTGCATTCCAGGTACAGAGTTAGAGCTGTTTCAGCCAAATTATTGAGTCCACAGAATGTCACTGTTTGTGTAAACTGCAAAGGATGGAAAATGATAGAAAAAAAATACAACTGTCAGCCTTCAGTGTTACTTCAGACCATCTTGTATGTTCAGCGAGTAATGCAGGAATATATTTCATTGCCTTCTAAGGTCACTTTTTATGGTTGTTATCATCTCTCTAATAGCACAAATCACATGCTTTCCTACAGAACTGGACTATGAATCCTGCCCTACCACAGCGGAATGTGAAAACAACGCGGTGGAATCTTTCTGGAGGATGGCCTCAATCACTGTAAATAGTGCATTAGTGCTGACGTTGTACATTAGCAAGTGTCCCCTGGGTGGTTCAGGAAAACATCGACGGATCAAAACAGATTTGAGTCTGTAACTGTGATAGATTATTTCCTATGATCCTAATACTTTTATTTAGACTGGGTACAGTGTTTCAGCAAGGGGAACCTAACTTTTACCTTACCTAGATAATGTGTTAAAATTCTGTGTTAGCTTTGTTACTATATATCAAGCATATGCTAAGCAGAATAAGCACACTAGTTGTCTACTGAATACAGGTTCTAAGTGACATTTGACAGCTTTTATTCATAGATCAAACCCAACAGTGTGCCAAAATGCTTTTTTCCTATGCTGAAGAAACCATAGGTTTGAGAAAATAGTTTGAGAAGATGCATTGAATTCTTGTCCTCTTTACTGCAGTGACTTGCTAGGGTGCTAGTTTGATATTATTTTAAAAGTTCTGATACTCTTCTTGGTAAAATTCTTTCCTTGGTCATGGTTGCTTGCAACACAATACCAAGTCATATGGCAAATCTGTAAGATGAGTTCTGAAAAAAAATTGTTATGTATTGCAGTACGCGCAGCACAGTTCTGGGATGATACATGTCTTGTTGAATGGTTCTTCAGTCGGAGGAGCTTATCCAAGCCCAGGGTAAGAAAACTGACTTATTTATGCGTACAAGGTCTGACGCCTTCAAAAAAAAAAAGGTCAACCAGTCGTTTGGGTCTTCTGCTGCACAGAGCATGGGAAGTGTAGCTGAAAAAGCCTCTTGCATCAAAGTCTGCTGAGTTGTGGGGACAACTGTTAATTGTCCCCAGCCATAGGAATTAACATGAAATGGATGAAAACCATCCTTTTGACTCCGGCATTTTACAAACCGCTGTGGCAAGCAGCATAAATGCTCTTTGAAAGCAGCCTTCAAGTCAGCCAACATACTGTGGCAAAATGTGTATATCTTCAAAAAGATGAGTGTTACAAAATTTCTATTCAGGGACATCTCCAAGGAGAGTCCTTATTTCAGAAACAGATTCCTTATTTCAGAAACCTCTTATGCATAAATTAATTTTTTCCACCAGTTCCCTGGGTTGCCTGTCTGGTGGCATGGTGACCAGTGAAATCTCCACCTCTGGAACACAGCCTGCCATGAAAAAAACAAAGCCATTTATGTCTGAATTCATTTAAGAGATCTTGTCTGAAAGAGGCTTAGAGGTGAATAATTAACATCAGAAAGTAATCTGAAAGATCTGCCTGTCTTCCTAAACATTGCTTTGGTCTGTTTTCAGGCATTTCAAAACCACTTTCAAAGTTTATCCTGTATTACAGTTTGTGCACTTAAATCATTATTAAGTTACCAGTTATCATTTCAGTACAGATTTATTTCCCACATTACTGCAAAATAACTTTGCTCATTCACACAATTTGAATGTAGCTGGCAGACTCCTTTAATAATATTATTTGGTTCAATAATTGGTTTACTGAAGTCAGTTGTACATTTTTCCTCCACGGTTTCTGACTCCTCTAGTTAAAGATTCCTTTATATTTTGGAGGGAGCTGCATTTTTGCTGGCAATAACATATTCATGAACAAGCAAATGAGTTAAAAATAACTGGAATCTTTATTTTTGGTTATATTTTCACTGTGGATTTAAGACAGGCTTGTATGCTTTAGACAGACAAGTAAACCTACTGTTGCTGCCACTGGTCTCTGGTTATGCACCGCCTTACCAGACTTGACCAGAGAGGGCAACTGTTGGTATCTGCCACCTCATGTTCCACTTCTCCAGAAGTTTAAATTAGCTTGCTGACCTCATGAACACGGCTCTGCTGGCTGCCAACAGAAGCTGACAACTGCCACGAGTCATGTGCTTCCACACCAGAGCACCAGTAGTTCGCCTGCAGGCACCAGGAGGACAGAGTGGTGGTCACGTTGCCACCACTGGTCTCATCCAGGAGATGACAGCTAACAGTCCCTTCTAGTCTGGGGAGTCTCAGAGCATTTAGCATGGCCAAGAGACACTTAAGCCCAGATGTAGACATTTATGAAGACCCCTTATAGGCAAATCAGAGCACACACCCAGGCTCAGGCTTAGACCAAACATGCAGTGCAGAGACAGCCCTTAAAAGCTTTCTGAGAGAAAAAAAAACCAATCAAAAAACAACATCAAAAAGAGCAATTAAACAGTTGGAAATCATTGCAGTACATCTTGCTGGAAAGATTAGAAATCTGTGGCTTTGAAATGCCTGCATCTCACAAAAAATTCAATTTACAAACTTTAAAATAATCCTTTGGATTTGGCATCTTCCATTTAATGTAAGAAGATATTTAGTGGCCATTCTAGTGTCTTGGTTTAATTGTCATTTAAATACCTATCAAAGTCAATTTACACGAGGGAATAAAGTAGAAGATTCTTCCTAGGCCAGGGATGGACACGTCTAGAACTTTCTCCTTTATGGTCTTATGTATCCTAGACAAATACTTCATGTTATTGTTGCTGTGATTTCGTATCTGAAAATATATTAGTCTTGTGGCTGTTGTTTTTTTATTTAAAGCAAAACTGTGTTGTGTCTAAAAGCAATAACTACAAGAATGACCTCTTTTTTACTACATATCAAATGGTTTTTGTTTTTGCGTTTGTTAAAGTTCACTTCATTCTGGTTCACCTCTTAAGTTGTAACTTTTTTTCAGCTGATCCCCTCTAAGATGAATAATAAGAAAACAAAACTTCTGATTAAGTGCCTTTGACCTTTGAGGACATTCAGAATGTCAATCAGATTTTTTTCTGCTCTGTGTTGAGTCTGATTGTAATCAGAAGATAAAAATGTAAAGCAAGCCCGTATCCTGCAGGAGGATCAGAGCTCTGATTACTGCGAAGAGAAAAAAAAGATTTATTTTTCCTGTTCTTTATAGTCCTGAATATTTGTTTCTTGAATCAGTTTTTTTGCAGATTATGAAATACCTAATCTCCAGAAAGACAAAATCTCACAAATTGTCATCTGGGTTGTGGATGATATTGAAGGACCAGATATGTAAGTTATACCTTCAAAAAAAAAATTCATTCTCCTTTTTGAACCTGTCTTTAAAATTTTACCTTAGTTTTCTATTTGGTTATATTTGTATAGCAATTAAACTAAAAATATTTTAGATGCTTTGACTAACACATAAGGCACACTCTGCCATCCCAAAAGAGTATATAAATACCAGAATTAGACAAAATAAATATAAATTCTAATATTGGGTCTGGAGTACACTCATTAGTTTAGAGATAGGCGTGCGTGGACCTCAGACCTTGAACGACGATGTATCATGAACTGTTTTACTAAGAAAAGGGTCAGTCTGCATTTCAGTTTAAATGTTCATATAAAATATTTCTTTCTCCTTGACAAATGCATCCTTTTCATTTTCACCTACCTTAACTGTTTGGAAATGAGTAGAAGGAGGGAAATACCACCAGGGGGCTCATCTTCTCTCAATACTTAAAATCAGTCCAACAACAAAGAGTAGGCTTTAACAGTTCTAATTCTGCTGTTAATTATATTTAAACAAACAAAAAACAGATCAGTCCAAACAGAATAGCCTTCTGGTAAATAGTCAAAGACCAAGTGAAGATTTTCAATATAAACACAGTAGAAAATGGACTTTGAAGTTAACAAAATCAAATAATTAGGCCTGGCTTGTGACTGACTAAAGGAAAAATTAATTCATTATAGCTTTTATGGGGGCCCTTACAAATGTACCTAGATGAGTCGAGGGCAGAGGAGCAGAGGAAGTCAGTTTTACCCCACCATCTGCAGGGTCCCTGCAATTTAATATAACATATGGTGGCACTTTATTGGTCTTAAAACTGCTCTGGCTGAGGAGGGTCAGAGAAGCAGACTCAGATGTCACCATATCCACCGCTGGTGGCTGAATCCCTGGTGTCGTCTGCATTCTTAGGGGTGTGAGGCTTCTGTTCTTGCTACTCAAACCTTTTGAGTTCTATCCATTTTGTGTCATTTCTCTTTCACATCCCATTTCTTCTCTTTCCTATCTCCTTTTGCTTTCATCAAAGTTTGGCATGGTCAAGCCAGACCACATATTTTACCGTAGTGCTGTAGAGTCTACGACAAGAGAAGCGTGGTTCAGGTTAGCATTTCTTAGCTTTTCTCTTTAAATCAAAGAATCATACCCTTCTGGAAAAAAATTATATAGCTCACCTTCACAGAAGTTGCCCTTATTACAAAGAAAAGCACTGAATGTTAATTTATCTTTCAGTCTGTGCTTGTCTGGATGCATAGGAATGTTTGTGATTGTAATTAATAAAAATATTAATTGCTTTTTACAATCACTTAGTTCATCCCCTTATGGTTTCTTTAGAGTCATAAGAATTTCCTGGCCAATGGATAAGTAACACTGACCTTAATACCTGACACTGGTGCACATTTTAGAGGTCTCAGTAGGTTCTGTACTATGTCGAGCTTTCTTTTGCTAATTGGACCACAAAATAAAAAACAGTGCTAGACACAGAAGCTGCATTTAGGATTGTTTCTGGTTTTTTTCATTCTCCCTGTGTTTTTCTGTTGTTCTATATTCAGGAGGACAAGCTTCTAACAAGAAGAATAATGCTAATTTATTATAACCAACTTATTCTGTAAAGATAGCTATCATCAACTTTAGCACCATCTAAATAGCTGCCAAAGAATATTACAAATGAAACTCTCATCTATTATTTTAAAAAATTGATTAGCTCTTTTCGTGTTTGCCTACTGAAATATTAAACATGGGAATATTGGTTAATAGAATCTGCGAATGCTACACAGGCTGAAGCCAATCTTCCAGTCTCTGCAAACTGAGTATAAAATGTTAAACGACTGTAAGCAAGCGAAGCATTATAAATAGCAATGTACACCAGTTTTCTGTAGGTGTTAAGGAATATGGAAGAAGCAAAGTAACGGGGATTTACTTTAGTAATTCCATCAAGTTCAGTGAAAGGAAATTACATAATAAAAGACTTGCAATAATATTAAAATCCTTTCTCACAGAGATTCCTGTGGAACTCACACTGTAGAGGTACTAGAAAACAGGCTGAAAACCCTTGGTTATGATGTCACCTGCACTGACAATTACAAGTAAGTGAAAATCCTTCATAAATACAGTAGTTGCAGAAGCACCGCATCTGTTTTAAATCTCACATTTTTCAGACTTAGCATTTTCCATCTGTGCTTTGAGCAAAACACTATGCCTTATCATATAATTGTATAACTAAGTGGAACATTGTATTTACCCAATGTCAGACTATGGCCTCATTTGTTCCACTTCACTGTAAAATCTTTATTTGGACTGAAAATCTGAACAACAGTTGAGAACACTGTTGAAGGTGTGCAGAATTACTAGTTATTCACAGTAGTATCCACAGCTCTGGTTATTCACAGTAGGTTCCAAGGTAAATATCATTGAAGGGAAGCTTTAGACATGACAATACTATTGAGTTTGTTTTGTTTCTTCATTTGTTTTCTTCAGTTTTCTGCCTGAAAAATGCTAAATAAAAGTATATCTTCACAGGCCTGTAATGTTCTTACTCTGCCTGGATCATCCTGATGATTCTAAGTGTACCCTTTCATCGTAAGTAAAAGAAGTTCAATCCATCCTCAGTGTCATTACAACTAAATAAATAATGCGAAGGTCAACAGTTCAACAGATTCCACCTCTATCTTCTATTATATATCACCCATGTGCAATATACCGTATTCTTGAATTTATTCCTTACTGTGTACCGAGAAAGCAGTTTCTATCTACAAATTGTGCACAATTGTCTGTGAGCACTTGGTATTCAAAATTAGGCGTTAATCAGTTCTCACTGGTCACGTAATCACACTGTATATCACTGGTGGTATGAATGAAGTTTGTAAATATCCATGTTCTGACTGATGCAAAATCCATCACAAATTCGAAATCGTTTTCATTAATATTCTTATTTGAATAATGAAATTGTAGGTCAAATGACAACAGATCTAAAGAACATTTCTCCAGTTACTGGAACTTTCAGTTCCAAATTTTGAGGAAGTTTTTTTTTTAATCCTCCATTTTGTGTGCAAAACCAATTTATTTATTTTAATGTATTTACCTTGGGCCAGTAGGTTATCTGCAAAGAACGCAGATTACATCCAAGATACAACTTTCTTAATTAGCAAGCGTGTCTCCCAAACTAGGTTTTAATAGCTTCCCTTTATATCCATATTTTTCTTTATTGTATGTAGAGGATTAAATGAATTTATGATGTATTTCAGTGGATTTACAGTAAAGATTACTGTTTTCAATTGTGTTTAAGTTTCTGAATCTATATGCTGTTGCATGTATAGGTACACATAAGATAGTTGAACATCTGAATATGAAAACTTCCTCACAGTTTGGAAAGTTGCAGTATACATAGATGCATAAAAGTTGTTCCCTAGTTACATTATTTTTATACATAATCCATACATCTGGCCACATCCTATCTCCTGCTGTCCTTTCTTCCCTAATTCAAGAACCTGCAAATCTTTTGTACATTAATACCCATGTAATACTGCAACGTTAACTTCTGCTATGAAAAACCTGACTTGCTGTCCCTGGTTATGGCAGCAGAGAGGTGCAGCCCCTGCCTGCCTGCCTGCCTCTGGCTGGGTGGCAGTAGAGCTTCACGCAGTACAGAAAGGAGGTGGGTATCACTTTCCGTGGCATATGGTCAGTTTTTGATACACCCTTACAGAGAAGAGGAGTACTCTCTGTTCCTGCTGGTCACTGAAAGCTTTCACTTGTCACGTGACAACACGTATTCTTACATCCAAATTACATCCCAGCACTAACCTATAAATGTGTGATGAAAACAGTGGCATTTTGGATACCACTGATACCTCCAGAATCCTTCTAGATAGTAAATGATAGAACAGGCTTCCAGGCCTGTTAAGGCATTTGTTTGTTACTAGATATGACTTGCATGGTGAATTATAATAGGGTTTCCTTGTCCTGCCAGTGAATGCTAAGGCTTTTGTTCATGTGTCAAAGGAAAATACAGTTGTCCCTTGTCAAATCACAGCTATGAATGTGGTGACAATATTAACAAACTGGAGGAAAAAGCACTTTACGGCACTTCATAAAATACAGTATTGTGAACTCTTAACAGAAGATTTTTCTCTTCTCCCAGGTTTTAAACCATTTCCCTCAAAGTTTTGTGATGTGAGTACATTCCTCAGCTGAGGAAAAGCTGAATGAAAAGGCTTTTGGAAACCATTGATGTCTTTTTCTTTCACCTAAGGGACCAGTTCCCCAGTATTACCACATAGTGCTTGCAAGGACTTGTAAGCAGGGAGCAGCCACCCCTTCCTTTCCATCCATGTCGGTACTTAAATTAACATAATCACTGGCGTATTCCAAGCACCAGTCTCATATTGTCCTGGGGTAGCAACTCATCTGTTATCATCCGCCTTAGGAGAGGTTCCTTCCTGAGCTTTCTACTCCCTCCTGTACGCATGGCAATGTAATAGCCTTGATTCACTTCATATCTATACTATCCCTAATCAAGACTGAGCTTCCCAATCTGAATGCTAACTATCACTGCCTCTCCCTGAAATTTAAGTAGCCAAAACACTTCAAGCCAATGAATACTTACACTTTTCCCCAAATCACTTACTTCTCTGCAATAAATAACATCTCCGTTGAAATCAGCTGCACTTTCAGAAAGAGCCTTAAGTGGATTTGATGATAAATTATTTGGATTATTATCTTCTAGTTCTGTTTTCTCTGTGGATGGATCCCCGCTCTCTGATGGTCCATTAACTGACACGGGAACAGTTTGGTCAGTCGTGGTATCACTAATACAAGCGTGTATCTGTTAAGAAAAGGCTTCCTTTGCATAGCCTGTGCTCAGTGTGCGCACATAGTGCTTTTGTACTTCCATAGTAAATAGTGAGCTAGGCACACGGGCCCTGCTGCATCCCCTTTCACAACAGCTAGTACAAGACCGATAGCTGGCTTCTCAGCCTCCAGAGAGTGAAGTCCTGAGCCCGAAAATACCAGAGGTGTGCAAGTGACTTTTTTGTCACAGCGGAGTAGGGCTGTGTCAGGGTAGCAGAGGGGTGACCTAGAAGGTGTTTTAATGTATTTGGGGCTCCTTAACTCCTCTCCAGACTTGAACTACGTTCCCGGTGAGTCAAAATTTAGACTTCGACTTGTTGACACCATGATGTTTGAAGAAAACTTGCAAATAAAAAAATACCCACTAGATGGCATAGATGGCTTACAAACAGAAGCAGAAAGCAAGCCAGATGCAACCTATTAGTAGTGGTGCTTATAACTTGCATTACTGCAATGTCAGGGAGACTTAGAAATGGGTCTGGATACTGTTGTATCAAATGCCATAAAACCATAGACATCTAGGACCACCGCTGTCTGGAAGAGCTCTATACAACCTAAAGCATGAGGCTGGAGGCAGTAAATGGATGTGGAGAGACAAGGAGGCTCAGGTATCGAGGTAGAAAGGACTGTTCCTGGGATTCTGCACACAGATATCCTGTTTATAAAATAATGACAGCCAAAGGGAATCTGGTGGCAAGCTCTTATAAAGAAACTTCTAGCTTAGCACTTGGACTGCAAACTTCATTCTTGGCAACAAACCCCTGATATTTAAAAGAATCCTAACTCAGCTCTGTGCTGTGAACATCCTGTTTGTTTTCTTTCCTTTAGATCTGCACCAGCAGCACAAAGAGGACCTATATCTTCAGACAGAGGAGGCAGCTGGAACAAGCTCATGTTTGTTTCTTTTGCAGGCTTTTTGTTCAGATTTGCTTTAATCAACTGAATCCATATCCTCTGCTTGCCTTAGCTGGCTATGAATGTGGCTTTAACTAATTTCTAACTGCAATTTCACCCTAGTTCTGAGACTGGCAAATCTGGATATTAAAACCCTGCATACTTCTATGTAGATACCAACTGCTTTTAGTAAAAAAATTATTCTACTGCTGCTAGAAAGCCTCACCCTTCCTTTCCTTTTCTTGAAAAGAAGAAATCCATTGCTATTTCCTCTTATCTTTATTCTCCAGAATTAAACTGAGAATAATACCTCCTGTTCACATATTTCAGAAAGAAAAGTGAAACTATGCCTGTCATACATCTCCCACACAGCTTATTTGTTTGTAAAAACAATCCTAGCATTTGCCCTTGGAAACTAAGTGTCTGATTATCGGGATTTGGGAAGGGGAAATATGAATCCAGATGGGAGAGAGCTTAGATTGCTCACTTGGTACAAGATACAATGGGTGAGACAGTGGAAAAATTGAACTAATTTTCGTAAGTGGTCTGGTACTTGGGTCAAACTTACCTGAAACTATCATACAGCGAGATTCTGGCTTGCACACTTGCATGCATCCAGTATTTTACCACATAATATCGATTGCTTTGTTATCCGTGGAGCTGTTCCTCAGCTGGCTGTTTCCTGGCTGCTAGATAGCCAGTAGTCAGGAATACCAGGTCTGGAGAGTTCCACAGGTTTTCCACCATGATGTGATGCTTGATCACCATGATGTGATTTATGGCATATCAAATTCAGACGAGAACCTGCCGAGTCAGATGCCTGCCTGCGTGCCGTGAACTCAGCACACTTCAGAATACATTGAGGAGAGAGCAGATGCCATCTTGAAGGTCTCTTGAGTTACTCTGAATTATCTAAGTGTCCCAGTTAGATGCTCCTGTAAACCACAAGACATCCAGCTATCAAGATGACACATAAATCTTCAGAATAAAATAGTCATTCTTCTAGAAAATAACTTTAAGTAAATTTTGTTGCACATTCTCTGTTAGCTTCTGTATTATTTATTTGTGTTTGTATTAGCTGGTTGTCAGGAAACTGGGATAGGATGTTCCTGTTATCTCAGGGCATCTGATTTAGGACTCTGTAGTAGATTTACATCCTTTCAGTCCCTGGTACAACTATATCATGTTGTATGTTTGAAAGATAAAATATCTAAAATACATTGTTGTTGCTAATTTGTTTGCCTTCCATTCCTGTAATAATCTTTAATTTGGTTTTAATGTAAATCCCCTTATATTACACACGTAGTTGCATTTGCCTGTATCACAGCTGGGTTTAGGCTCCAGCTTGAAGGATTTTTGTGTCTGTTTCAGACACTTGCAAAAACACTGAAATCAGAAGTTACAGGCCTTTGAAAATCTGGGCTGTATTACACCTCAAAATTGTTCCCTACCTATGCCGAAACATCAGTCCTTTGGTTAGTTCCTTCAACATCCTCCTCATTTTTCTTGCCCGTTTGATGCTGTCCTTAACTGCAGCCACCAGAATAATAAGAAGGGGGTCTGTTTGTAACACAGACACATCTCAGATAACTGAACCCAAGCAATTTTGATCAGTTTTCTACTTGTCCACAGCAGATGACATGATGACATATTTTGGACTGCAGGCTGCAGAGGTAGTGCATATGATAGGTGTCCAAGCCATCCTTTGGTCTAGCGTTGTCCTACCCACTGACCTGTGTATTACAGTGTGTAGGGGATTCAGAGAATAGCTAAATACCATCAACAAGCCATATGTCTCTTAGGCAACTTCTATCCCCAAGCCAAGCATCCCAGCTGGCCAACTTTTGCTTTCCAGCCTACGAAAGCTTTCCAGCCTCTGGATGCAATCCGCCCCGGCAGCGCAGTCAGCGCTGGCCGTTACACACGATACCAAACACACTGTAGGAAGTCCTAAATATTTCTGTTTTGGAAAAAAAAAAAAAGTAAAGTACAAAGTAGGACAGATATGATTCCAGTAATTTGAGGGTATTTACTGCATGACCTCATACCAGGAACAACACACTCAGAAACCTCTTGCAGTGTTTTCTTATTTCTAACGTTCTTGCCTCTTTTCCCATTACTTCAACTCGGTAGCAGACAGCAATTTTTTCCCCAGTATCTTTTGAATAAAGTGTCTCAAACTTGCTGGAAAAGCTTGAAAAATCTGTAAAGATTTTTAGCTAACTAATGTAGCTGGGGGAAGAAAGGCAGCAAAGGTTTAGATATGTAGGCTTCCTGAGACTTCAAAGGCAGCAAATTTCAAGCTGAGTGTGGATCAGTTATTCTGGGCTTAATATAATGGTTTTAATCTGTGTGAAAGAACAGTGTGACTGGCATCTCGTAAGCGGAGGGGGAAAAGAAGTGTCAGCAAAGCGAGAAGCAGTACGGTCATTTGTTACTCCTGGAGGGAGGGAGAGACATGAACAAAAAGTTGTGAGCAATGGAATCCCATCTATCTCTGTGGTTTTTTTATTTCTACATCTACAAAGTGTGTGAATAGTGCTATTTGCATGTATATTTTACACTTCTGTGGTGAGAATCAGCTAGGTATGCCTGTGCTCTGTCTCGAACACTCAGTAAGTGCTCTGATTAGCAATGTCTCATGTAACAGCTGTGCCAAATTTGGAGAAATCGTAATGTCTAAAAGGCATCTGCCCTTCTACGTAAACTCCTGCAAGCCTGGTAGTGTTCAGCAG